TCTCCAACTTCTAATTCTAACGATGGCTCATAAGGTGGTCACCAGCAATGACATAAACTAACCCCCACGTCGCCTAGGACTTGACGAGGGTTAACCCACATTACGTCGTCGCGCACCCATCCCTCTACGAAGTGGTCTGTGGATACTCCTTCCCTTCGCCCTTGCCCGAAAACCCGGACTTCAGAGTTTGGGTCGTCACCACCGAGTCGGCAAAGTACCTCCCCCGACGAATCGGATCCACTCCAAGTCGATAACAGGGCCGGCTCCGAAAGCATACGAACCCCCGCCTTGGATGCTTCATAGAGAGAAAAGGCGATAAAGACTGTCCATCTCATTCTCCCGCACGACTTGATAATTCAAACAAAAAAAAAATAGAGTATGACGAGGCTTAAAAAAAAAAAAAAAAAAAAAGTGGGTATTTGAGATAGAAATGGTCGATCCTCAAGCAAAAAAATCAAATTTGTTTATCTTCATTTACAATTTTTCTTTCATGGTACCTGTTGACACTATACTTTTCAAAATACAAGTATATTTAACATACAGGTAAGCGAAAGGTAGAAGTAGAACAATCCTTTCCCTTTTCTCCAATAGGCAAAATCAATCTCATTTTCAATCATCAATTTTTACCTACATGAATAGACCGCAAGCAAAACAAACAAGTTCAAAGGAAACCAGTATAATTCCATGCTCAAATCAGATTTTTCGATTCACATGCGAACACACATTTCCTTTTGTCTTTTCAATGAACATTCAATGAACAGGGTCAAGCAAGTGTGGGTTCACACAGGTGTGAAGGTGAAATCCGAGTCAATCAACTGACCTTGAGTGAAGTTTGAATTGACTCACTCAAGAAAGTCGAGTGATATCCCAATTTGAAAAGAGGATCGTCGTTGAAGTCCGAAGTATGCAGCTCACAACTCCCTCAGTTATAACTTCCACTAAAAGATGGTCCACGTCAAGAAGTTGGGCCCACCGAAGAGATTTAAGTGAGATAACCTCAAAAGAGGATGTCCTCAAAATTAAGTATCATGCAATCCCGGCGTCCCAATGACACCACGTCCCCCAAGGATGGTCCCAAAACAAGCCGCAGACCCAAGCCTCTTTTTATCACTGCATCCGACCCCAAGTTTGTCCCACTCGGTCCCAAAATGGTTCTTGGTAGTCCCACACTCTTGCTTGCTACACCGGATGGTCTCAAACACCAACAGCTCGCACCGTGGATCCCCCCCCAAAAAACAGCGGTCCTCCGGTACTGAATGCCACAAATGTCAGCACCTCAATGGTCACACCACCAATACCACGTCACCGAAATATTATCGCCGCCGTGCCATAAAAAGGCAGGACGACCCCACTGAAAATGCTGCTACCGTAGTGCCAACAAAATGGCAGCACGACCTCACTGAAAATATTGTTGCTGCCGGGCCAAAAAATGGGCAGCACTTCCTCTTAAACAAAAAGTTGCCGCAGAGCCAAGATTCCGACAACATAACCCCTGACGAACCTTTGTCGTTCACTATGGAGTTGGACAGCACCTCCCCCTCACTTCGCTATGCAGATCACCTTCCACTCCAGAAGCACCCCCCCTTACAACGCCTAGCAGTCCCCGCTACCGTGTGTGTGTGTGTGTGTGAGTGTGTGAGAGAGAGAGAGAGAGAGTTGTAATGCATTAGAAGCGCAGAGCCTTAGACCGAACAGTCGCATGCATAGAGTTAACAGTTACAACGAAGAGTTTAAACTTCAAACGCAGCAGTCCATCACAATGCATCTCAAGTAGAAGATATGAAGACTCCGACATACCAAGTAAGCAGACAAACTGAGAAAAGAAAACAGAGAAAGGGACAGACTGTTTTATAAGTTTGTGACTCGTGAGAATAATGAATCGTTGACAGTCTGCAGAAATCCGATTTTTTTGGTAATAATATTACTTAGACCCGTCCTACAAGTAGCAAGGCAAAGCAGGCAACAGTAAGACGGAGGGAGTCTAGGTACGCAAGGAAGCGGGGGAAAAAGTAACAAGATAGATAACTTTCGGGCTCACAATCAAAAGCTGGCAGCAAATCATACAACAAAGCAGGGCAGTAAGGCAACCAAACAGGCAAACAGACGAACATCATTGCAGCGCTGGCAAGGAAACCCGCTCATACAGCACAGACCAGAGCAGGCCATCACCTACTCACAACATAAGTACAACTCCACAAATTGTAGGTTCACACTGCATTGAGACTGAGGGGATGGCTCTAGTAATCGTCTGTAATCAACAGGAGACTCTACAGTGAGTGTGTGGACACCTAGTAGTGCAGGCTGACACTTCATTCTTGTTCGCAGCCAGTAGGCTGCGTTTTGCGATGACAACTTTCTTTTGTCGTCTAACGGCCGTTTGCCGTTTCCAGCATGTCGATGACAAGTTCGAGGGGTTTACAGGGCGTCGTGCGGTGCAGGGGAAGGGTGCGGTCGGGGGCAGGAGACGGACCGGTCGTGTGTGAGGTGGAGAAGTTGGAAGGCCGTCGGTACATGAGTGTGGTCGGTTTCGGTGGTGGTGGTCACGGTTCACTTTTCTTTTCGGGAGAAGGTCTTTTGGACACCGGGCACGCAAAATTTATTTTTTTTTTGCTCGCCCTCGTCCGTTTTGGTGTGTGGGTTTTAAAGAAGGGTCTTTTTTTTACAGTTATCTGGGTTCATGTATGTGGGCGTCGTCAACATCCACATTCAGACGTTTGTTCCAACGACAGTTTCTATGTGGATGTGACTGCGGGATGCACGCAGAGTGTAGCGTGGTCGTGGTCTTCCGAGAACGCAGGAAGTGATGGGCAGCGTGGGTGAGCGACTGCAGGGATGCAACCTCGTCGTGGCAGTTACAGTGGAGTGAATCTCTCTCTCTCTCTCTCTCTCTCTCTCTCTCTCTCTCTCTCTCTCTCTCTCTCTCTCTCTCTCTCTCTCTCTCTTTTCCAACCCAACTACATCTACGACTTGAAAAAAATTGTACATCTATCATTCGACCTGAGCACCCCACCCTTCAACATGCGGGGGGAGGGGTGTGGGGGAGGGGGGTGTGGGGGAGGGGGGGTGGAGCCCCCCCTCCCCCACACTTGAACATGACCTAAACCATGAACAAATTCAAAACACCAGAGAGGAAGAGAGAGCAAGAGAGCATCCTTCATGCACAAAGTTCTGTCTGTGATGCACAATCAACTATGGAGCATACATCATGCAGCAAGTCTGATGTTCGGTTCTGGGGGAACAGGGGGGCCTACACCCCCTTCCCCTCCGTCTCGCAACCCTGTGACCCTGTGGGTTATGTCCAACATTTTCTTTTTTTCTCATTTCCAGAGTGTTCGGTTGCATTTTCGTTTTTGTCTCATGTATGGAATGTTCACCTGTGTGACATTGGTTATGCAGAAAGTTGCTTTGTTTCTGATATGCAACATGCATCCATATGGTATACATCAAATGGATGTGTCTGTGATGTTCTTGATCGCACCTAACCAACTACCTAATACTACCCGGGCTCATCAAACAGCGCTAAAAGCTTTGACTATCACGCTAAATTGACTATCTAGTCTGTTTCAGATTTTTCCCAAACTATTTGTTAGATTCCCGCGCGTTACTCACCCATTCCCCACTTTGTTTTCAACTGAGAAAGGCAATCCCTTCGAGCAAGCAGTGGTCTGTTGTGCAATGCGCATCCATGTACTCACTCAAAATCTGTGACGTCGTGGATTTAGAGGGGGAAAAAAATGCGAACACCTCTGGAGGTGGTGGCAAATTCTCAGCATAGACGAACTCTACATCTAACCATTCGACCTCACCGACCCCCACTTCAACATGGGGGGGAAGGGGGTGTGGGGAAGCGGGGGCAGAGCCCCCCCTTCCCCACACTTGAACATAACTGCAAATAGCTCAACCCCACAAACTAGCAGTCCATTGACATTTGCCACACCACCTACCGATTTGAAGGGCGGCCCCCTCCCCCATAATCGAGCATCACTTGCCAGCAGAGTTCGCAACCAGGATTTTTTGGAGTACCTGTACCTAACCTAACCATGCACTCTTCGAAAACCAACCACCCATACCCACTGCATACCTGGCCTGCCAGACCCTTACCCATCTCCAACTGCCCCAAAAAAAAAAAAGATATACCCTAGCCTACCCTAACTGAACCTCTTCAGCATGTAACTGGCCATACCTACCCATGATTTTTTTTTTTCAAAACCACCCATGGCCACCTCAACCCAAACCATTTGTTAACCACCCATACCCTACTTTACCCATGTTTGGTTTACCTATACCCACTTGTACCTACCCATAGTTGTATGCACCCACCCGTAACCATCCATTCTCATAACCCACTCTTCCCTAACCGCAAATAACCGCCTCTAATTGTCCTCAACCGCCACTAACTGTCCTTGGCCGCCCGTAACTGCCCCTAACCGCCTCTATTTTTTTTTAACCACCCCTAACCGCCCCTAATTGTCCTGAACCGCAGCCAAATGTCCCAAACCCCCTGGACGTCATAGGATTGGCGTGCTGATTTTAAAAAAAATAAAAATTCCGAGCTGTAGCATCTGCCGTGCAAGAGCAACGATTGTTACATCTGGTCACTTTGATGCTGTTATGGATGCATCCCATGCTACAACAGCCTATGCAACTTGTATAACATCTGGAAATGCAACAACCCTTGGTCTGTCGCGCACACAATTTCACACATACACTTCTTCACACACACACACACTTGCACACACACACACACATTGTCAGACATAAATATTACATGGACAAGGGTACACGCATTTGAAAATAATCCGAAAATTAAAAAAAACAAAAAATAAAACAAAAGGAAAAGAGATCAAATTCACCCTTGCGAGAAAAAGTGATGGCTTCATGGAAAAGTGAGAAATTTGGAATGTGAAAAAAACGCCACACGCGACAAAAAAAAAAAGATTGCAAAAGCTACAAAACTTGCATTAATTGGCCGAAAGTCGACATCAAACGGCCGGAAGGGATGATGCTGCAAAGCCACAACACTGTGAGCGTGGCTGAAATCCAGCAAACTATCTAGCCTCCAAAGGTAGAAAATTTGCATCAGTTCAGCACATCATAGTTGGAACGAACAAAAAGGACACTATCCACCACGAATGGATTGAGCTGGTTTCTTTTTTTTGTGACAGTGTTTCCTGCGTCTGAGAAATTGCACTCGCTCTTGGAACTCGACGCAGGAACACACAGGATTGCTCGAGCAGCACGCGCCATGATCGGTGGAGGTGTGATCAGCAACTGGTCCTCTGCATTCTTTGCAACTGTCCCCTTCACCTTCCACCACACTAATATGTCGAACTTCTTCTTCTCGTCTTTCGTCAGCTTCAAGCCAAAGTAGAATTCCAACTCCTTCACGCGTTGTATCAACGTCAGGGGTCTCATGGAAGCGATGGGCAGTTCCTCGTCCTCATCTTCATCTGTGCCGCACAACGTTAACTCGTCGGGGACTTCTCTTGTAGGCGCTTTCTTCCTTCGTTTCGCTGGCCGCTTTCCCTCCGCTGCTGCAGGTTGTTCACTTGCTTCAGCACTTGTGTCTTTCACATTCTGCATGATCTCTATCAAACAGTTCTTTCCTCGCTCAATCTGGCCTTCCGAAAAACCAAAACGGTCCAACCTGTCCTTCTGTTGAGGATCAAGTAAAGCTGCAGCAATATGCAGATCTTCCACAATCCATTTCTCCTGCAACACATCCTTCGTTAGCATCTTGATGGCGATGATGTCTTCCGAATCTGATGGGATAGTAAACTTATTACCATCAGCGTCCTCACCGTTGTATGGCTCATGGCATGGTTTGCAGTACTCCATCAGAGCACTGCGCTCGAAAGCCACAAGGTGTAGCGTCGGTTCCAAATACTGCTCCAGCCTCAGGGTGGCAATCTGAAACCATTTCAAGAACCTTGTGAGCTCCGCAAGCGAGTTCTTGTCAATTTGTGTGATGAGGAATTGTTTATTGGCCTGCCTATTAGTGTTGGCAAGCCTAGCGAGGACAGCTGTGACTTCGTCATAGCTATCCAAAACGCTATTCAGGGAAATCAACAATGAGTTCCACCGTGTCACATTTTCCTGCTTGAGCGTTTTACTTAGGCTGTTCTGCAGGTTCGCCTATTTGAAATACCGCACCAGCTCTTTGCAGTTGTCGATCATTTAATACAGGTGCGGTGCGAACTCATGATACCTGTAGAACGGTGCAGACCGAACTCCGTCCGTTGTTGTTGTGGTTTTGTTGAATATTGTCGTGAGCACGGTCGCTATTTTGTGATCCGCACAGGCCATCCACTTGTACACTTTTCGGATGCCCTTAGCTGCGGCCATGTTTGACCCGCTGTCGGTGCAAACCACACATTTTGCTGCATCTTCACAGCTGAACTCATGAAGGCACTCTTGAAATGCCTTGAGAGCAGCTGGCCCAGTATGCGTTTCCTCGTGGAACGCTACACCTACTTCAGACTTTCAGCCATATCTGTACGGATTACGAAATGAAATTGCTATTATTGATTTAGAAAGAACACTTCTTTATTTACGAAGAGCTTGTAATTTCATTGAGTATATAATTCGTTCAAATGGTCATATATTATTTGTAAATACTAATCCACAAAACAATCAAATAATTCAGAAAATGGCAAAAGAAACATGTCAAAGTTATATAAATCATAAATGGATTAAATTGCACACATTCAATTTGAAATTGATATCGATATAATGCATGGTAACGGACAAAAACGAATTTTTTTTCACTTCATCAGTCCACATGCCCGTTGTAAAGCCTGCATGCACACCGTCATCGAAATGTTTCTTCACCTGCTCTTTCACCTTTTCACGGGCAGAGGATGCTGTCGCGAGAACACGGCGTTTGACAGTGTTGGGGACCGGGATCACCTTTCCCATCTGCATAGCCTTGCCCACAGCTGCGCCCATGTCATACGCTTCTTGCACAACGTCTATAAAACCCTCGTCGGCTACCACATTGAAGGGCCGCAAATCTTTGCAGCACCACATGGCGGTCTTTTTTGCCATCCTGTTTTTTTTGAGCCAATGTGGGCTCTGCGGAAGTCGCAAATAGGCGCATGAGGCCTGCTCCTTCCGGCTCCTTGCGACGAGTGTGTTGTCGCAAAGTGCTTGTCCCGTGTGCGGAGCTATACGCGTAGACTCTAAATGCAGGCCACATATGCGCTGTTGTGCTCCCGTATGGGAGCACCATCAGCAGAACACACATGACCAAAAGATTTCCAAATCTGAGAAACATTTCCATTCTCCTCTCTTAACGTATACGGAGGGTTGGTTCCTCCTTTTCTAAGCGCTGTTTGGACGAGCACTTTGAAACGTTTCATATCAGTGGTCGTGGAGGAAGAGYCTGCTGTTCCACTGCTCTTATTCTGCTCGTTTACTGTTGTATCAYGTTTCGGGTCAGACCGGTCTGATTCRTCCGATGACCCGAACCCCTCACTCACAAGAGGCTCCATCRARAGACACTGAATTCGAAGAGGGCACTAAAGATAATCGGGACAGTGCTGAGATTCTAGAATTGAGCTTTAAGGACAATAAAGATAATTTCACTTGAACAACAACACTGAATTGACTGAATCGCTGCTTATTAAGGCATGAATTGGTAAAAAAGAGTGATCAATCCGGGTCCAGAACCATAGATTCCGACAACCCTTGGGCATGAAGCACTCCCACCAAAGTAGAAACTACAGCAGCTAGTTTGCCATCACCATTGGAACCTGCAGGAGCACAACAACACACCGTGCACACACCGAGTCGCAGTCAGCTCCTCCCTCATGAGCAGTAAAGCAATCACATCTGACCTACTCTGATCAGATCTTATCTTGTCTAATCCGATATGATGAGATCTGATCTGCTCTGATCACATCTCATCTGGTTCGATCACATCTGATCTGATCTGATGAGATCTGATGTGGTCTGACCAGATTGGATCAGATTGGGAAGGGTGGAGGCTTTTTTTTTTTGTTTTTTTTTCATAGATCTGATCAGATCAGATCAGATCAGATCAGATCTGATCTGGTTTGATCAGATCTGATCAGATCAGATCAGATCTGATCTGGTTTGATCAGATCTGATCAGATCCGACGAGATCTGATCTGGTCTCACAGTCCTCACATACTGGCCAGATACATTCCTCAAAGCACTCATGCTACTTCCACCTGCCCAGAGAAGAACGCAATCCTCTGCGCCTTGCCCAGAGAAGAACGCAAACATGCAGTTCCCAGTCAACTCTTCGTAACATTCTCTCTCTCTCTCTCTCTCTCTCTCTCTCTCTCTCTCTCTCTCTCTCTCTCTTCACTGGATTCAAAAGATTGATTGACTGCATTCAATGATCGATGAAAAGATCATCGAACTTCACTGCCCACCGAGTTTTGCCGAGTTGGACAGCGCCTCTTCACTGCGCACCGAGTTTTGCCCAGTTTTACCGAGCCAGGGTCATCGAATGTAAGAAGAACAAGAATCAAAACAAAAAAAAAAATAAAAAAATTCGCCGACGCCGTGATAAGCATCAGATACATTCTATGTGTGTGTGTGTGTGTGTGTGTGTGTGAGAGAGAGAGAGAGGGAGAGAGAGAGAGAGAGGCCGACGGGGCATAGAAGAACGGGGGAACGGGTCACTTGCTACGGACGAGAGAGAGAGAGAGAGAGAGAGAGGGCAGCTAGATGATGAATGATTCGAGAGAGAGAGGAGCAGTTGCTATTTTCAACTTCGCAGTAGCAGCTCCTCCTGTTGGCTCAACCAACGATAGTCCCGAGTGAGATCCAGAAGAATAGCCTCCCCCTTTAATTAGGGCGGTGAAGATTGAGAGGAGGGGAGATGAAGAAAGCAGAGCACGCCATCTGGCGATGAGGTCGTGGATGGGGAGAGGGATGAGAAAACCCGGCAGTAGGGGAGGAATATAGGGAGAGGATGTCGAGGATGTCAAGGGCTGTGAGAGCGCGGGGGAGGAGGGAGGGCAGCTAGATGATGAATGCGTTTTGGTTAGGGGCTCTTGCGTTTCCTCACCAGCACATCTCCACAAAGACGTCCAGATTCAGGATTTGACGAAACTCGACACTGCTTGTGGGACTTGGCCCCTGAGATGTCCGACCGAGATCTTATTACGTCCTCTGAAAATCCTCTGCGGGAAACGCGGAAAGCAACATATCCTGAAAAGCCTCATGCAGAATAGGCGGGAAGCAACGTGTTTTGAGGAAATCCTCACGCAGAAAAAGGCGGGAACAATATTAAAAACTGGCCTCAAAGCATGCTCTGAGATGATCGAACGAGATCTTAGTATCCTCGTCAAAAGGAAAACGCGGGAAGCAGCTCATGCGGAAAACGCGGGAAAGCAGCTCATACGGAAAACGCGGGAAGCAGCTCATACGGAAAACGCTGGAAGCAACTGTGCATTCGAGGCATCTTTCAGTCTAGATACAACGATAATGACCGTACGTTGTATTCGGGGGAAGATGGTAGTCTCAAAGCATGCTGAGAAACACGACCCAGATCGTGCTACTGAGTCTAAGGGTTGCGGCACTCACTGCTTTTCTCCACACACAAAGGGCGTAGACATCTTACTTGGTCCGTCAGCGAGAAGATCAGCGAGAAGGTAATTTTACCGTCTTCCACCGAACAGAACGTACGACCATTGTAGCTGTATTTGGGACAACCGTCAGACCAGATACAGCGATATCGACCGTACAGAGTTAGTTCTATTTGTGGGAAGACGGTAGAGGGCTCGGAACAGATAATCGATGATGATAGATGAGCTTAGAACAAGCTCATCTACAAAGTGTTTTTTTTTTTTTTTGTTTGTTTGTTTTTTTTTTTTTTTTTTTTCACAAAGAGAGCTGGCCACCGTCTGGTTGCCCATTCTCAATGGCAATTGAACCAACAAAGCACAGTCCCAAAAGATACACACCAAGCTGATCATCGAAAACACCGACTCCACATATTGGGTCTGCAAACGCAAAACCCCTTCTCCGCTCTCGCATCTAACGCCCTCTCTTCAGGGGCGCGCCCGACCGTCGTCGCTTCTGCCTTCTGCTCTCTATCGCCAGCACGCCATGCACTTTACTGACTCACTTTAGTGTGACCAAACTCAAATGAGCGGAGGCACTAACAGATATCACACCCATCCCCCCAAGAGCTCCATAGCACTGCGAGGCTCAAAACTCCTTATGCGCCTTTCTCTTAAACACTCCGAGCATGAACACACATGCGAATCCCTCACCCGCGTTGCCCTTCTCTTGTCGACTTCCCCCCCTCTCCCTCAACCCCCCATGACCACCACAGAGTTAGTTCTATTCCATGGATGAGACCTGGATTAGATCTGATCTGGATAAGATGTGGATAAGATCTGGATTGGATCTGGATAAGATTAGGATTTGGATCGGGATCTAGTAGATTTGATTTGGGTAAGATCCAGATAAGATCTTAGAGTACACAGAAGGTATGTCATGGTTCGGTGAGGCTACTGAAGATCAGGATCGGGATCGCGATTACGAAAATGGGGAAACATGCTAATCCCGACTTCTTTGACGCTGAAAGTTCATGATGATGATGAGGAGGAGGAGGAGATCACAATCATCCGATCAATAACGTCCTAGTGATCTCATGAATCATGATTGATTGATTGATGACATATATATATAGTGCCAAAAAAAAAAAAATAGTGCGACGAAATTTTGCATCTGATCCATGACGTCTCATCATCATGCTTGTGATTGTCTACAGAAGGACGTTGTTGGTCATCCATGCTTGTGATCGGCGCAGTCCTTTTTTTTTTTTTTTTTTTTTTAAGATGGGGACGTCATTGATCCGTAACGTCTCATCGCCACCCTTGTGATCGCCTACAGAAGGACGGTATTGGCCATCATGCTCTCTGTGTGTGTGTGTGTGTGTGTGTGTGTGTGTGTGTGTGTG